AGTAGGAAAGCTGTAAGGAAACATAATAAATGGTTTAGAGACTCTTCCAGTGCCTCGTCTCTTTCATCACATGCACTTGAGGCTGCTGTGTGTCCATATACACAGTGGTAATCCCAGTGGTATTCTCAAAATGGAGAGGGAGTATCATGTTACAGGAGTGAGGTCCTGTTAGCACAATGCCATGCAGAGAAGAAGTGCAGTGCTATTTTTAATCCCAGCGCTGAGCTAAAACAGACATGGCAGTGAAAGGTTTATGAATCGGGGAAATTAAAGCCAGATACAAGTTTGTGTAGAGAAATTATTGTTTTTAGACTGTTTACAATTAATAAAAGCAAAAGCACATGGACCACTTCAGTCATGACAACTTGTTTACTGTAAGAAGGCTTCAATAAAACCACTAATCGCTCTCAGGAGGCCTTCATGAGGTCATTTTTGGTCCCAGTCTTTATGCTACTCTAAAATACTCAACACTTACACTCTGTGCAAGACTCGATACATATGTGGCCAGGGCAGATCTCCCCTGAGACATACAGAAGTCCTGTTGTAAATGGTCAGTTAGGTCTATAAATTTCTGAACATTTTTTTATATATATATATGGGGTGCAACGATACACAAAATTCACGGTTCGATACTTTGGTGTCACGGTTCGATATTTTTTCGATACAAAAAAATGTTCATGCCTTTTTAATTTGTCATTTATTAAAATTATAAATATATATTTTAACTCAAAAGTACAGTTTTTAAATTTAATGTTGCTGAAACAAAAGTAATTTAAAAAATAAATATCTGATTGAGGAATCACTCATCTTTGGAAAAGAGAGTTTATTACAGAGAAATGGCTCTTTCCAAAATAAAAGCTATACTATACGCTTCTTCTGGGCTATATTCTCAGCAGCATATTGTAGCGGGTCAGGGCTGTTCGGGGTTCTGTTTGTACAGTTATGTTTTGTTTATGTTGCCATAGTGACGGGTGACGCCCTCTCGCTGCGACGGTGTGTCCTTCCGGGGTCAGAGGGCGCCCTGTGTGTTGTGTGTTTTTTTTTTTTTTAACTTTATTTAACAAACAATGAGTATACAACATACGAACAGATGAAGTATACAAAACAACAGAACATGAACACAAAAAGCCAAGGGTAAAAGAAAAAGGTAACAATTATAGGAATACACGCAAAAATTCACATACATATATTGTTTTGAGAGCCTTTTTGTTGGTGGAGTCTGATATTGATTGTATGTACATTTCCACATGGGCGCCCTGTGTGTTGTTGTTGTTGCTGTGCGGTTGCCGCGCTGAGCAGTTAGCTAGCGGCAGTGTTCTTCTGCAGATGTCAATAAACGGCTGTGCTCCCTGGCTAGCTCACGGGAAGCAAGACCAAACGACACCTCCGTCTCCTCCTTGTCTGAGCTCGCCACATTGGTGTCAGAAGTGGGATGATGGTGGCACCCCATGTTCTGACCCGAGTGACTTTTCCCCCGCCGGTCGTGACCGGCCGGTGCGCCAAAAGAAGGCACCTGGACATTTGCAGGACTTTGTGTGGGGTAATGGGGTCGTCGGGGACGACTGACCCCTTAGGTGGGGGCTATGTAGCGGGTCAGGGCTGTTCGGGGTTCTGTTTGTACAGTTATGTTTTGTTTATGTTGCCATAGTGACGGGTGACGCCCTCTCGCTGCGACGGTGTGTCCTTCCGGGGTCAGAGGGCGCCCTGTGTGTTGTTGTTGTTGTTGCTGTGCGGTTGCCGCGCTGAGCAGTTAGCTAGCGGCAGTGTTCTTCTGCAGATGTCAATAAACGGCTGTGCTCCCTGGCTAGCTCACGGGAAGCAAGACCAAACGACACCTCCGTCTCCTCCTTGTCTGAGCTCGCCACAATATTAAACATATCAGGTCCCCATAAGGAGAATCATGTGCTAACGGCTGTCTAAATGACTCGGGTAAAGTTTGTAGCATGCATGCTTGTTGTTTTTGTCTGCTTCCACTTGTCTTTGCACTAGGATGATGTCGGCGTAAATGTGCAGTCATATTCGTTGTGTTCCCACTAGTGCTGTCAGCGTTAATCTCGTTGAAATGACTAACGCCACAACACGGCAAATCTCCGTTAACGAGCTACCCCTGATCGCCCGTGCTGGGGCTAGACGGCCAACACGTTAACGAGCTAACTGCGCTAACACACTAGTTCCCACCCATGTAATTGAGCATTGCGTGGCACATCCAACATACTGTTTTACTTTAGTCCATGACGTCGCTTACCTTCAGGGTCATACGTCACATGAAAACCAAAATAATTCCAAACGCCAGATCTGAATGAGGGTGGGGGAGGTTCAATTTGCCATGTTGCAAGGAGAGCTTAACTTCTGTCTCGCTAGCTTGCCCTGGCTCTTCCTTCTATGCTGTCTGTGTTGAGCGCTCAGTGGATCTGCGCTCGACAGTGCAGCCTAGGCGGAGTAGTCGAACGCAGATTCACTGAGCGCTCAACACAGACAGCATCGTCAGAAGGAAAGTTGATAAAATAAATTACAAATTTTGTATTGTTCGATACATATGCGTACCGAACCAGAAGCACTGTATCGAACGGTTCAATATCGATATGAGTATCGTTGCACCCCTAATATACACATACATACATACACACACATAGTACTTCTGTCTCTGTACACCACCCTTTTATAATCAATCAACATGTGATTACTTTCAACACAATCATAGGTCCCTTATCCTATTCAGTAAGAACAGGTTCTGGGCTATCAAAACCTACGCCCTCCCCATGATCAGTTACCCTGCTGGGATAATAAGTTGGCCAAAGGAGGAGATAGAAGCCACTGACATTAAGACCAGGAAGACCACCTTACCATGCATGGAGGGTTTCACCCCAAGTCCAGCATTCTGAGGCTGTATGCTAAGCGGAAGGAAGGCGGCTGGGGAAGTGTCAGTACCACAGTCCAGGATGAGACAAAAAACATCCATGAATACATCAGGAAGATGGCCCCAACCGACCATGTGCTCAGTGAATGCCTCAGGCAGCAGAAACCCAAAAAAGAGGAGGAACCATCATGGAAGGATAAGTAAGCACCTGCACGGTATATACCACCGGCAGATAGAGGAAGTGGCTGACATCCAGGTCCTACCAGTGGTTGGACAAAGTAGATGTGTGATTGTCAACAATCAAGAGATGCCCTCATGAAAGGAAATGCAAAAGGTTTACAAGAAGGTGAAAAACACTTGTTACACTCAAGAACAAGAAGGTCAGATTGCACAAGCCTGAAAAATGCATAGATGAAACCAGCTTTTGGCAGAATGATGTGAAGAAAAAAGTATGGATAAAGCAAAGAAATAGGTCATCAAGCATACCGAAATGAAATGTGGCATGCATGGCTGCCAGTGGAACCAGGCCACTGATTTTTATTGATGATTTCTTAGGGCGAAAGGCAGGGTACACCCTGGACAGGCCACTAGTCTGTCGCAGGGCTAAAACATAGACTATTCACACCTATGGGTAATTTAGTGTATCCAGTTAACCGAACCCCACTAACTGCATGTCTTTGGACTGTGGGAGGAAGCTGGAGTACCTGCAGAGAACCTACACAGACACGGGCAGAACACACAGAAAGACCCTGGCCTGATGGTGCAATTGAAGTCAGGACATTCTTGCTGTGAGGCAACAGTGCTAACCACTGTGCCACCATGCTGCCCTTATAATAACTATAATTTCCACAATTTTTCCTTTAATCCTGGGACTCCTTTCCCTCCTGCCTCCTCTCTTTGTTGTGGTTGCTGTTTTGTTGACATATATGTACCCAAGCTCTTTACACTTCTTCCCTCACAAGCTTTTCCCAGAGTTGGGGCAATGAGTTCAGGGGTTTGTTGACATATGGGTCCTTATATGGAGGAAATGATTGTTATTTCCTAACTGAAAACTTCAAAAACTGAGTTGAAAAGGTTGCTGGAATTGAACAGGAGAAATCAACTGAACAGGCTTACAGCTGATATCCTGCTGTGAGCAGTATTGGGGCCAGGCCTGAACAGGAAGGGCTTTGAAGCTGCAATGATGAAGTGAATGTATGTGAGAGTGTGTGTGTGTGTGTTTTGTCAGCAGACAAGAATAAACAGCCAAGAAAAAACCCCATACAGGATCATATACAATATTTTAAATAGAACTTGTCTGAAAAAATGAAGTAGGCTAAAAATACATAAATCTAAAAAGCTACACGGCATACCCTGATATAACAGCTGAGAAACAAACTCACTGATATCTGTCAGTCTCTAAAGGGTTATAAAACCTTTTATAAGACTTATCTACAAATTAAGAAAACCTGGAACAGCAGTGAAGCTTCCCAGGAGTGATCAATCTATCAAAATTACTCCAAGAGTACATCAATGACTCATCCAGGAGGTCACAAAAGAACCCAGAACATCTAAAGAACTGCAGGCTTCACTTGCCTCAGTCAGAGGATCAGAGTTCATGATTTAACAACAAGAAAGAGGCTGGGCAAAAATGGCGCACATGGGAGAGCGCTAACCAAGAAGATCACAAAGACTCACATTTGCCAAAAAAACATCTTGATGATCTCCAAGACTTTTGGGAAACTGTTCTGTGGACTGATGAGACAAAAGCTGAGCTTTGTAGAGGGTTTGAGTCCTGTTACATCTGACATAAAATTAAAACAGCATTTCATAAAAAGAAAATCACACCGACACTCAAACATGATGGTTTTAGTGGGGCCGCTTTGCTGCTTCGGGACCTGGATGATTTGCTGTAATTGAGGGAACCGTGAATTCTGCTCTCTACCAGAATATCAGGCTTTCTTTTCTGTGCTGAAGTTCAAACACACTGGTGTTCTGAAGAAGGACATATTTTTTATTAGCATTGATATTAAAAAATGTAAGTGTCACAAATATTCAAAAAAGAGGAAAATTATTTTTAACAGCAATGTTTATAATATTTAAATAGAACAGAAATCATAGTAAAGAATATTTTTTTATTTTATCATCAAGGCGTAACGTTTATTCTTGTCCTCCACGCCAGAAGGTGGCGCTGTTTTCTCGTGTTGCACATTTCTCACCTCACTAGTTTCATGTCCGTGTTTACAATCCAAGCGTGACGTTCACGGACCCGCACAAATACGTGTTCAGGAGCCACCGAGAGCTGGCAGCCTCCCGTCTAAATGTCCAGGATGCATTCACTGAAAGCTTTTCTGAGCGAGAGGCTGATGGTGGCCGCGGAGGAGATATTTGGAGCGGTTGAAAAGACAATAGCCGAATACAAAGAGGAGCTCTGTCGTTCAAAAGATCTGGAAATCAGCCGTCTCAGATTGGAGCTGAAGCTTCTCAAGGCAGGTAGGTTTGAATTAAACCCGCTTTATAGCCAAACCCGTGCAGCTTTTCCTTATAATGTCTGTATTTTGAGTTAAAAATGAATAACTCCGGCGTCTTTTGTCTTTTGCTCAGAGCCTCCATCAGACAAATGTCTTGCAGCCCAGCTGCTGCAGCAAACCTATCACCGCCACCGTCCTTCTCCTCCTCCTCCTCTTCAGTCAGACCCTGCAGTGGATGCTTCTGAGCCTGAGGCCGAGCCTGAGCAGTGCGAGGAAGAGGAGGAGGATGGAGGCAGCAGCCTGGGGCAGATGGATGAGGAGCATCCAGAGACTTCAGAGGTCAAAAAGGAGGAGCAGCAGAAGAGCCACAGGGACTTCTGGATGGGTCACGATGCTGACCAGCTCGAAGCCCTCGAGTCAGACATCAAAGACTTCATCTCCTCTCCTTCCAGTCTGAAAGCCAGTCTGCAGGACCAAGCCTTACATTTCCACCATTACCACCATCACCACCACCTCCACGGCAACGAGGAGGGCAAAGACAAACCCTACAGCTGCTCCGTCTGTGAAAAACGCTTCAGTAACTGCTCCCACCTGGCAGCTCACATCAGGACTCACACGGGAGAGAGGCCGTACAGGTGTGAAATATGCAGCAAGACCTTCATCACGACGAGCGCTCTGAACAGACACCAGACGATCCACACCGAGGGGAAACGCTTTGTGTGTAACTGCTGTGGCAAATCCTTCAAATGGATGGAGTCTCTCGGCAGACACGTTAGAAGTGTGCACAAGAGGGAGAATGTGGTTCAGGATCCATGAATGTGTAAAATTATAATCACGTAGTATTTACCTCTAAAGAAAAACACACAATGAGCTCGAACAGGGAATGTAAAGTGTGAAATGTTAGTTGTGGATTATGTTGGCAAATGTGCATGGATTTCATTATGCCTTGTGTGCATAAACTGTAGCAGCAGTAGATGATGTGAAAATAAACTTTTATAAACTGCTTATAACCTTAGATCGATCCTTTCAGAATAAAATATTGATTAAAAACCTGTTTTGTTTTTATGTCTTGTGTTCTCTGCTTTCCACGGTCAGTTCACGTGAAGGTCTGGCTCAAAACAGGACTTTGGGGGACAATTAGTCCACATGTGTGTTACCTTAACTAAAATAATTTTTACTTTAAAATGCTTAAAATATTTTTACCACAGTTCTTCTGAAACTCCTAAAGGGGAAATGCCCAAAACCTGTTTTCTATATGGGAAAAATCCTGACATATTCTTCCTTTTAGCTGAATGGGATGTGTGAGTCTTTTTGCTGCAGGAATATAAAAAGCAGAAGGAAAAAAGTTACACTTCACTCCACTAGGTGGAGCTTTTCCTACATAGTTTCCCATCAATCTTAAGTATTTGGCAGGGTTCATATCGCCTCCTGTCCAATATACTCCATGTGGATTTATTTTCTGTGAGCTGGTGAACTCGCATATTAAAAATATGAAGGTAGTCTACTCACCACATAATATAGGCCTCTGCACCATAAATGCATGCACAAGAAGCAGTGGTGAGGGAACTCTTCTGATTTTTAAACTACAAATACCAAAAGTATTTGTTGTAAAGAATGAGCCATAATTATACATTATTGAATTCATGTATTCACTGAGTTATTTTAGGGACCAAGAGGGATTATCTATGAGCCCATTATGGTTTAAACAGGGATGTTTATGGTTTCTTTAATGTTTCTCTTTGTGTTTATCATCAATAACAGATATTTTATGTGATTTAATGTATTTCATTTATATGTTTGAATCATTTTGATGCAAAAACAAGTTAATCCCACTCATCTCCATCATCACTTTGGGATTCAGTGTTTCCACAGCAGTAAATCTTCGCTACTCCAGACGTGTTAGCCATCGTTCACTGTAACATCAACATAGTTGTAGTTTCTCTGAATATTGCACGGCGTAACTTGGGGTGAATTTGAAGTGTCTAGTCCTGGGACGACTGCGGCATTGTCTTAACACACAACTGAATACTCCAGACTAGCAAACTGGTCTAAAACTGCTTTTGATGAGCAGCACCTGGCTTTTGCATACCCTCTAAATTCCCATGGAAACATTAATAGCACACTTTACTCTTCACTTGACTGCATATATGAAACAATCTGCTAAAAAGAATCAGATTCAATTCTACTGAAAGCAGTATTAAGGTCACATTATTTATTCTTCATGGAGGCTTGATTTATGCCTCACAAATAACTGAATTAGGCCTGTTTCCTGTCATACATGTGATGCTAGTTAAGCTGAAGACAGCCCAGTAAGTCATGACAGTACTGTGACTTGTACATTTACACCCTCCTTCTGTCTGGAGGACAACTTTGTGTCATTTGTACTTCGTGTACTTGGCTCCTGGTGAGAGACTAAAATGAGAAGTGGTATGAACTAATTAAAACTTGGCTGCTGGGAGGTGGGTTGGTAGCACACTGTCCTGGCTGATGGTGTGTGTAGTAATCTCCAAACTCATGGGCAGACTTGGCAGATATGCCTCTGACTGTAAAATGATATGTTTTCTCCTGCTGACTAAAAGTTTGTAGATCTTGACTGTATTTTGCACCTCATGCTCAAAGTTATACAACTCTGAGCTCCTACCAGGTTTTAAAAAGAGATGATGGCTCACTTTGACTTTACCGCTTTGATTTAAAGGCACATTTGTACATTCAAGTACTCAAAGTTATACCAAATTATTGTCGTCCTATCATCCATCCATCCATCCATAGTCACTTTCCTAGGTCTGGGTCTGAATAGTGGGGGCAGCCAACTCAATTCTTCCAAGGAGACAACAAGGCTTCCCAAGCCTGCTGAAGGATCTAATCTCTCTGATGTATTCTGGTTTTTCCCCAAGGTCTTCTCCCAGTAGGAAAGGCCTGAAAAACCTCACCTGGGAGGCACCCAGTAGGCATCCTAGTCAGATGGATAACTAGGATCCAGAAATCCCTCCACCTTGTCATGATGAAGGGGTCTGTGCGCCTGTGTGATGCCAGGAGATATATTGTGAGGGCCAATTTACCGCTGGAAGGGTCTCCCAAGCAAAACTGCTTCTGAGTGAGGGGTCAGACAAGAGCTATTCAGAAAACCCCTATAAAGGGAAGAACAAGGGATCTGTTAATCCTCCCCAGGGTAGAGTTGCCTTGGTCCCACCCTGTAGCCAGAAAGAGTAACATGCACCCAGCCCCTCATAAGCCCACCATGTACAGGAGGGGCAGTCTGATCCCCAGTCGCCAAAACCTGTTATAAGGACACTGAACACTGTCACCTCTTTGGTGGGGGCATGTATACAAGTAGTTTCTGTGAGCCAGAAGCTCAAGCATCAGACTGTTTAAGTCACTGATTGATCTGCGTGATGCCAAAGAGAGGATACCTTTAACTCCTTAACTCATAGTGTATCATATTTGATACATTGAAAAACGGGAATAAATATCTCACCACATTTTTAGGCAATAAATTGCAAAAGAAAAAGAAATAAAAGGCCAGCTGTAACAAATATGTAACAAATTCATTTATATGTTAATCTATATATCTTTTTTTAAAGTCAGGAGGTTCAATAAATGTTGAATTTAAAAAAAAAGAATTATTTGATAGTTCAGGCTTTAAACAGTTAATATGGCAAAAATGTAGCTCAGTGAAAAGCATCACCTGTGATTTTTTAAAAAACATAATAAACCAAAATATAAGCTGCATAAAAAGGACAGCTACAACAAATTTAAATTTCTGAGAAACTGGAACAACATGCTTTGAATTTTTACTCAAAATAAGGGAAACGGTTTCCTCAGTGTGGCGTGCAGGCACAGAGCGCAGCACACAGGGTGTTCAACTTGAATTAGTATTTCAGGGTCTGGACAGGGGTGTAACATTTAGGAGACCACAGAACTTTTTGCTATGTTTGATCTTTAAAAAAATTGTTTGAAATAACGGTTTGATTCACCAGGAAACACAAAGACGTTTTTCACCAGCTCCTCACTCCATTTTTTGGCATCATGTGGCCATTATCTATACTCAGGGGTTACATTGGGACTTGTTGTTGCGAGCAGCTGTGACGCAGCATTTTCGCCTCCTAAAAAGTTTTCAGTGGGAGATACATTTTGTCACTTCTTCAGTCGTTTCTCACACTGGAAATGCTACGTCCTGGATGACTGAGCATGCATCAAGACAGCATCTTGGCCTGTTTGTCAGCGTACACATGCAGCAGCAGCAGGGTCGAGTATTTTGTGTTATATGAAGCTGATATACGTGTTAATCAGCCCATTTCACGGTGTAAGTAATAAAGCTAAGTTCAGGTGTGCAGCAGTAACTGCCCTGTGACCTCTAAACATGAAACATGCAGTGCTTGCAAGCGAGCTGTGTTTGAAGATGTGTTTGTGTTTAGTTTATTTTTATTTCTTGCCTCTCATCCAGACCTGGTTTGGACCCAGCAAGTGCAAAGCCAGACCAGGCCTTTTTGGACTCCTTTTATGGTCAAGTTCCTGGAGGAATGTGCCAAGTCTGGTTTGGTAGATGTGTTAATTGTAAGCAGTTTGAGGTCAGGATTGGTTTCCTAATATGACTTGATTTGTCTTCCTACTTTTAACTTACTGCAGTTGCCTTGGAATAAAAGCTCTGCTATAAGTAAATTACTGTCAGGGGCTTACTTTAACCGAGATATAGCCCTCAGAGTTTAATCTTTAAATCAGACATTTCCACCAAGTTACTTTGGGAGTTTTGCATGTAATTGGTTTTGTTAGTGTGTTTGTCCGTTTGTTTGTTTGTTAGCAGTCTAGTGTCCACAGTCTCAAGTATATCGTTTGAAATTTTGTGTGATTGTAGGTACCAATGACAGCTCGAGCTGATTTAACATGAGTGGAAATTGGGTCAACGTCATATCAAATGTGAAAATCAGTGAAAAATTTATATTACCCCCAATTTTTTAGGTGAAATAAAAAGAAACTTCAATTCTAGACCAGTTTAGAAGTTCCAGCCTCAGTTTCCAGAGTCAGTAAGTCAGTCTCTCCAGTGGAGTTCTTCACTGGGTTAGTTTTGGACTAGGCTCTATTCAAGTCTGGGAATTTGGCTGACAGACTTCGATATATAGACAGGTTTAATAAGTCAGTAAATTAATCTAAATGCTGCGTTTCTAAGTTCAGATTTAGGTCGATTTAAAATGCTTCCAGATTGTAAATGTGGAAAAAGCTCAGCAGGCACACTTCACGTCTCATAATAATGTCGAACAACATTATTTTATCGTACATTCACTTATTGGAGAGAGACCCGCTGAGAGCTCTCATGCACACGCAGGTGCTCCTTTCAGTAAACCACTTACAACAACTGTGCCGAGGAGACAATTAAAATAATGACACAATAACGACTTCAAAGCTGAACATCCAGATTATAACAGAGATGGATTGCGTTCTGGAGTTTCTACTACAAATCATTTTTATAAAGGACTTGGATTTAGGGAAAGATGCTATGGGACAATTTTCATGAAGTGTGAATACAAAAATGTCTCAACAGCGCAGATGACCTTGTTTTGTGACATCGCACCTCTGGTGTTTGGTAGAACCTCTCAGAAAGTACTTACCTTAAACTCTGTGCTCATATTAAATGTTTCAGGTACAGTCATGAAAAAGAAAGTACTCCCAATTTCAATTTTTAAATGTTATGTGTTAAGATGTAATTGAAAATAATAATCACCTTTAGCAGCAATAACAACGTGAAGTTAAAGCTTTCTTTATGAATTTATCAGTCTCTCACGTCGCTGTGGGGAAATTTTGGCTCAGTCTTCAGTTCAGTGTGGGTTCATTTGTTTATTCACAGCATTTCAGTCGCCTCTATTCTTTTCTTTTTCAGTCATTGTGTTGTACATTTGCTGCTTTTGCATGGGATCATCATCCTGTTGCACAACCCAATTTCAACCAAGCTTTAGCTGTCGAACACAGATATATTTGACTCAAGAACACTTTGGTGTACAGAGGAGCTCATGGTCGACTTAACGACTGCAAGGTACCCCCAGGTCCTGTGGCTGCGAAACAAACCCAAATCCCCCTGTATGTGTATCACACATATTCATCTGAAAACTATCCAACCACTATTTGACAAAAGAAAAGATGGCTTTTATGTGTGCTTTGTTTTATAATTTCACTTGACAGATCTCTGCTGAACATCATTACTTTCTTTCTTCAGATGTTTTTCCTGCATTCCTTTTTGTTTTTTGAGCGTGACCACTGCAGTCCTTCAGCCGCTCCTGAAACCTACAAACATGAACGAACGTGTGCTCATTTGGACCCACTGTGAAATAATTTATCACCATCAAAAGCTTTCTGTCCACTTCTTGCTCTGTGCTGGCATCTTATTCATCTACAAATGCATTTGGTAAACCCGTGCTTTTAAAATGTGTTGAATTTCATAAATATTTCAAATCAGACTACTCTGTCTTTAATAACAACGTGCCCTTCACATCATGTTCAAACCCAGCGCTGCATTTGCTCCAACA